ATGCAGAGCAGCACACACACACACACACACACACACACACATAAGGTACAAGTCTTTCCTTCTTACATGCAATGCCTCTAGTAAGATGCCACTATTCCCTGTTCCTTCAAAAGTAATCAGTTTAGACAAAATCATAATAATAGCCTAACCCTCATACTACAGCTGTTGTTTTTTTCAGATAATAATTGTAAAAAAAATACAGTAAAATAAAAGTTAAATCGTGCAGATCTTTCACTTCATTTCCTTTTTTTCCACAAATGGAAATATGGGTTAATATTATAAGGACCATTTCACATGATTTGCAGTTACTTAGTATTACCCCTGCGGAAGGGGAGGGGCCAATTACATCAACTTGCTTTGGGGCTTTCAGGTGAGTTTGCATGCAACAATATTTCCTGATGTACTGACACAGATGCACATTGTTCTCATTACTCTATATCACATCTCCAACTTCAATGCACCATGGCTGCACATGTGATTCTGCTGGTTTTGTGCTGTGCTTTTAGACAGAGCAACAGTGCGAGTACACCTGCATGGTTCGACAACATTTCTACCAGTCTCTTCAATTTGTCTGGGGACATTATGCTCGGAGGACTTTTTCCCATTAACCAGCTCACCAGCAACCTCAGTGAAAGGATGGAGCCTGACAACATTAGCTGTGACAGGTAATGGGGTATGAAAAATAGCATTTTTGGGAAATTAAGATCATATTATTTGAGATTTTGTAACCAATATGTATGTTTAACGTGACTAACAAGGCTTCTACTTTGTTTTTTCTGCCTGTGGTCCCACAGTTTAAATGAGTATGGACTGGGCCTCGCTCTAGTTATGAAATATGCAGTGGATGAGATCAACGCAAACTCAATTCTGCTCCCTGGCATCAAGTTGGGTTATGAAATCTTTGACACATGCAAACAATCTGCTGTCATCGTGAAGCCTACTATCTCTTTCCTCACTGCAAAATCGACCGATGCGCTATCTGTAGAGTGTAATTACACCAACTATGAGACCAGCATATCAGCCGTAATCGGTCCTCTGACCTCAGAAATGGTGTCAGTCATAGGAAAACTCCTGGGATTCTTTCTGATGCCACAGGTTTGGTTACAAATATGTCTCATCATATGTTTACATACATTCTCTTTCCGGACTGATTTGACATATTCATAATGTTGAAAGAAAAACCTTAAAGGTAACGCTAAACGTTGGCCATTACAGAATCCCACAAGAAGTTGATTATGTTGAATATTGTTGAATTGGTCCATTCAATAACATAAGACATTAATTGTTTTGGCATTCGAATTTTGTACAATATGATTACATAAAAACAGTTGCCCACTTGCAATGCAAATTATCTTTCAACCTAAGTATATTTGCATTAGGCCTTATGTGTCAATAATGGACATGGCTTGGTAACATCAATGTGGTAAAATTCAAATGTGGTATAATATAAATAATCTTAATAATCTTCTCACTTCAGATTAGCTTCGGTGCCACCAGTGACAAATTCAGTGACAAACTTCTCTATCCGTCATTCTTCCGCACGGTACCCAGTGACAAATGGCAAGTAGAAGTCATGGTGCGTCTGATGAAGGTGTTTGAATGGAACTGGGTGGCAGTGGTGGGCAGCGAAGAGGAGTATGGACAACAAGGTGTGCAGGAATTCTCCAAAAGAGCAGAAAATGAGTCCATCTGTGTGGCCTACCAGGGTCTGATTCCAGTGTACACTGACCCCACACCAGCGGTCAAAACTATCATTGATAATATCAACGCAACCAACGTCGGAGTGGTAGTGTTTTTTTCTCTCGCAGAGCCCGCTGTGGTCTTTTTCAAAGAGGTTAGTGAAGCAGAGAATTATCATGTGTGGGGCAGCACTTTAGATGTATTGTATGTTATTGGTGGATAGATTATATTCAATCCAGTAATCCAATCTACTTTTTCAGGTTATCAGGAGGAATGTAACGGCTGTGTGGATCGCCAGCACAAGTTGGGGCATCAGTAATAAACTGACTTCTCTCCCCAATATCAACACAGTCGGTACAATCCTTGCATTCACTGACATGACACAGACTCTGGGTCTGCTTACTGACTACACAGAGGAACTCTTCAGCAAACTGAGCGAGGAGAGCGAGATGTCCCCTCCAGCACCAGAGTCTGGCAATCCTCTTAGTCCCTGCCCACAATGTTGGAACTTGTCAACTGCTAATATTAGCTTGGTGCAAGATCCTGCAGTGCAGCGCACAGCTTTCAGTGTTTATGCTGCCATCTACAGTGTTGCACAGGCACTGCACAACCTGCTGGGATGCAATTCAACTGCCTGTGTGAAGGGATCTGAAACCAAAATCTATCCCTGGAAGGTGATTCTTCTTTCTATTATATAGGTGATGGCATACAATTTGGAATTAAAATGATTTTTTTAAACATTAATTAAACAATTAACTAAATCTTATTTTGCAGCTATTGAAGGCTTTAAAGAACACGTCTGTAGACATAAATGGCACACATTTAGAATTTGACACAAATGGCAACCCAAACATCGGATACAATTTGGTTCAGTGGGTCTGGAATGCCTCGCATGTTGACTTCATTGAAGTTGGAAGCTTTTACAGAGAACTAAACATCAGCAAGCCCCTCTTCAAATGGCACACTCCAAACTCAAAGGTAATTTCTTGATATAAACTTTCACACACATACTTAAAAGCTTTTTGTTTTAATCACATTATCATTATGGATCATAATCCAGTTTAGGTTACTGAAATGTTGCATTTTTTACCATAACAATCCTAATGTAGTACCACGACTTTTGCAGGTTCCTGAGTCCACCTGTTCAGCACAATGTGAGACAGGCCAGGTCCGCAGAGTCAAAGGTTTCCATTCATGCTGTTTCGATTGTATCGACTGTGTGCCAGGCACTTACCAGGAGAATGAAGGTAATGCAAATGTCCACACATCTCTCTAATACAAAGAGTCGTGCAACATTTTGGAAAGTGTCACCTATTTGCTTTCTTGCATAGAATTAAATGACTGGCTCTGTCCAAAGTTAACTAAATCTACCTACGTGCCTCTAAAGCTCTTTAATTAACACGTCATATCTTGTTTGTTTAATCTGCACAAAAACTGATTTGTGGTATTACGGGCTTATGTACGGTAACTTCCGAGAATGTTGTTGTCATGAGGTTGCCAGGTAAACAGCAAAGACTCCAGGAAGTCACTGTGTGTGGCCAATATATAATCCTGCACATAGCCCCTCTTAAATCCCCATTCTGACATTTTCATAATTCAGCAAACAAGTAAAATATAATGAGTTAATTAGTGAGCATTAGAGGTGCTGGAGGGCACCAGACGGAGTCAGCATAGCTGTTTCACCCTGCCTCCAGTCTTTAGTGTTAGACTAGCAAACCAGCTGCTCAGCTGTAGCTCCAGATTTAATGCACAAACACAGAGTGGCATTGATCTTCTCAAACCATGCGCTACCTACTGTTGTGATTTGATTGAATTTCTATATGGTGTGCTTGTTAATCAAACCAATTCCTGTTGTGCTTTCTGACTTATAGACGACATTCAGTGTGCTAAGTGCCCTACGGGTCAGTGGTCTGAGGAAAAAAGCACTAACTGCACTTTACCCACCTTTGACTTTTTGTCCTGGGACACGCCTGAAGCTCTGGCAATGACGCTGGCTGTGGTGCTGCTGTTAATATGTCAGGCGTCAGTAGGTGTTGTGTTCCTGAAACACCGGGGAACCCTATTGGTAAAGGCCTCAGGGGGAGTCCTGAGTTTTGTGGCTCTGCTAAGTCTGATGGGAGCTTGCCTCAGTCTGCTGCTCTTCCTGGGGCAGCCCGGGGATGTGGTGTGTCGTCTTCAGTTGCCCCTCACCTCCATTTTCCAAACAGTGGCCCTCGCCATTATTACGTCCATCTCACTACAGGTGAGGAAAGACAGGTAACATACATTTCTGTGATGTAAAGCGCACATTGTAGTCAAAGTAAAAAACCCCTCTTTTCATACAGATATTCTACGTGTCAGAGTTCCCAAAGACGGCTGCCTCTCACCTGCATGTGCTAAGAGGCCCTGGAAGCGGTCTGTTTGTCGTGATCTGCTGTGTTGTGCATGCTGGTATCTGTGGCTGGTATGTTCAGGAAGGGCCATCGCTGACTGAATATATGGCGAATATGACAATAAACTTTGTAAGAGAATTCCTGACATGTCCAGTGAAACCCTTGTCTGGATTTGCCTTATTGCAAGGTTTCAACAGTGCATTGGCCCTCATATCATTCATGTGCACCTTCATGGCAATAAAGCCTCTTCATCAGTATAACCTTGCCAGGGACATCACCTTTTCCTCCCTGATCTATTGTGTGATTTGGGTGACCTTTATTCCAATCTACATAGGCTTGAATGTCAAGAACAGGTCTATTGTCCATGTTTCTTTCACCCTGGCAAGCAACTTGGGACTCCTGGCAGCCTACTACTTCCCAAAATGCTTCTTGCTGTTGAGAAAGCCTGAGCTCAATACAGCAGAACACTTTTGTACCTTCCTCGAGGGCGTCCCACCAACACCAGCTCAGGAGGAACCACAGACACAGACAGAGTCAGAGAAATAAACTAAAATGTACTTGTAAGAAATATATATATATATACATATCAGGTAAAATTTACATTTGTATGCTTTGTACGTGAAAAAGATAACGTATTAATTAGTTTGTGAATTTCACAATTAACTAGCCTACAGTACAGGTTACAAATACATACATTCACTAAGGTAGGGGTTGCTCATGTAGAGTAGCATATAAAAAATAGTGTAACTTTCGTATATTTTCATTATGATTATGGTTATATAGTTATATTGGTTATAGTTATAATTATGATATTAAAGAGGCTGCAGATTCTTGTAGCTGTTTTTGCAAAAATAAAAAACTTTTCTTTTTTTTACATTATTATTTATTTTGTATGTAACATTGCTAATATTTGTACAACATAGATAGCAATAAAGGTGCAATAAAGAAAGTGTGTATATATGTGTTTTGTTTGTTGTTTTTATTTTCCCTGGCAAGGCACTGCTTCTACTACGAATAGTCGTCCTTTAAATAAATAAAAGTAGCAATACTTTGCCTTCAAAATAAACTTGAGTTCAAAGAGTAGACGCACCCGTTATGTTTGTCCCTTTTCATTGTTATGACACATATTGTAGCCTATATTTTACTAGTATAATTATTTTTAATGATGTCTAAACTGTAGGTGGAGTTACTTTTATCTACATAAACAGTAGGAAAGTTTAATCAATAAATATTCGAAATGAATATGTTTTTAAGCTCATCATGTACCTCAAACACACTTAAAGTATTTGAGTAACACTTTGTCCCAGAACTGAACTGTACACTGCATTGTTTGTTCAGCCTACTAAACATTCAGTTTATTCCTTTTTTTAATTATTATTATTTTATTTTTTATTTATTTTTTATTTCAAAGTCATCTTTATTGCAAAAAGGGGGTTACAATTCAGATGTGACTTACAGAGATATTTATATGTAACAGTATACAAACATATTAAATACAAAGTGAAATAAAGCTTTGCCAGGGGAAGCTTATATGTTATTACAAAGAGAAAGAGGACCATATGTTGACAGTTTTAACTGCCTTTTTGTTGTTGGAGCCAGAAATCAAATTAATATAATGCACAACTTCATGGAGAAAAAGTACAAAATTAGGTTTTTTACTGTTGAATTTACATTTATGAATGTGGAATTTTGCCAACAGAATTAATACATTTATAATGAAGTACATATTTTCTTTACTTTGAATTATATACCTATAAAAGCAAAATACCACATTCTCCCACAATAAGGCAAAGTCTTTAAATATGGTAAATTATGAATCTGCTGAAGTTTTGCCAAAATGTTCTGGTGTGTAAGCAATACCAAAAGAGGTGCAAAACAGTTTCTGGGTGGTCTTCACAAAAAGAACAGTTTGTATCGATGTCTCTTTTAAATTTACCCATGTAATGATTAGCAGGGTTATATCTGCGAGTTATTCTGAACGACACTTTTTTCACCATGTTTACTATCAGGTATCTGTGAGGAATCATCCAAACCTTTTCCAGTCAATGGCGTTTACATTCAGTTTATCCCTATACCTTTGTCTCTACTGGTCCCACACGTCATGAAGTCATGTCCCGCCCCTCTCTGCCTCTGATTGGCTAGTACTCTTTTGCCTTTATTGGTTTGATTGGTTAGGTTAATGCATGAGGATTGGGATTGGTTGGGGTTGGGGTAAGAATGTCAGGGTGATCCAATCAGAAGCAGAGTAGGGCGGGTTATGACTTCGCCATCCTGGAAAGAAAAAAAAATACCGCGTCCAGCACTAATACAGTCATGGTAGTCATCACCTTTGGCCACTACAGCCCTGGCAATCTTGTCAGGCGGCTGAACCAGGTTGTGTGTGTGTGTGTGTGTGTGTGTGTGTGTGTACAAAGCCATTTAAAGATGTAATTGGAGAGACTGAGCAGACTGAGACTGGAGCCCCAATCAAGCCCATAACCTTTCAACCTGGCTGTAAATGTTACTTCTGCCTGAGAGACTCAATTCAGGGACTGCGAGTCCCTGGGTCCTTGGCAACGGTTGCTAACAACTCAGACTGATGTGAGCCTGCTGTGTGTCCTGAGAGGTGACACTGGGGTTTTTACCTTTATAAACTCTGAGCTGGTGAGAGAAAATTATTATTTGTCCTGAACAGCAGACACTTTTCTTTTCGATAAGCTTTTAAGAGTTTCAAGAGTCTCTAAACAAAGCTAAATATGTTTAATCTTCTGTAAGCATGAAACATGGCTACTGTTTGGTTTCCCTCGCTTTAGGTACTAATGTGTGTTATGGGTATTTTTATTGACCTGTTTAACTATTCTGTATTTAAACTAAATTTAAATATCTATTAATCACAAATACTGCAGCCTGAATCAATGGACATTAATGTTTATTAGTATGAATGTATTATTCAATGTAACTATTATGGGAAAACTTTTTACATTGTATGTATTTAAGATGCTATATCAATCCAAAAATGCAACAATAAAATGTAACTGTAGGACAAAATATATATAAAATATGTCTCATGCAGCATTTTCTCACATAAACACCAATATTGGTGCCAATCAAATGCTGTGGTAACACTTTATTTGGATAGTTTACAGATAGTTTGTAGAGTTTGTAACATTTCAAAAGTTTATTAATTGAGATTCCACAACCTTTTTCTGGTATTACACAGCTGTGGTTAAAGTTTGGTTAGGTTTAGGCATAAAAACATCTCAGTTAGGGTATGTTGAACAGTTAAAAAATTACAAATACTCTAATAAACTGCCTATCAAAATAAAGTGATACTAATGCTTCTTCCAGGAAATCACAGAAAACAAAAACAATTTGAACTTATTTTGTCTTAACTTATGTATATCTAGTTTTTTGGAGGTTTTTTTCAACTACAATAACACTGCAAGTTCAGTATTTTCTGTTATCAGCATCACTTTACTTTCTATTTTTATATGGTGAAGCCCAGTGTAACGATGCCTCGAGGAAGATCGGCCACAAGTGCCCGCTCAGACAGCAGTGAGATGGATGCTGATGGTACAGGTAACGTTGCTTATGTTGTTATTATTACCTATTAGCTGTTGATGTTCTCTCACTAATCTTATTTTGCCAGTCTTTTGGTTAAAACAATGTGCATATGGTGTTTTTTAAGCAGAATCAGAGATAGCCAGACTGCAGAGACAGTTCAGGATCATGGAAGGAGATCGGCAGGCCTACAACCTTCAGGCCCGGGAGCAGATCCGCAAACAACAGTAAATAAGCAGCTACATCACATTGTAAACATTGTGTGTGTTGTGTTATTTTTATTTTATTTTGCCTGATCAGCTGTTTATGTGATGTGAGTAAAGGCAGGAAATAGAGAAGCTGCTGAAGGAGCAGGAGGAGTTGCATCGAAACCTTGGTGCATGTAAGAGCTTCTCACGCCAACAGCAGGAAAGTGAGGACACCCAGAGTCTGTGTGCTCTGCTGGAGCAGAGAGACGTGCTAGAGGAGGAGCTGGGGAAAGAGAAGCAGCATCAAAAAGAGATAGAGAAAGAGGTGAATTAAGTCATTTTCACTTTATATGATAATAATTTTAGTTTCATTTCATGTGTACTGATTTTTCTGGTCCAAAACAACAGTTTCCTATCATCTGTCTGTAATGTGGGCAGATCGCAAATATGGAGTTGAAGCTGGCAGACCTGAGAAAAGGGGACGTCAGTACTAGTGATTCACAGAGGTCAGAGGTACGGCGGGCTCAGAAGGCCGTACGCACGTTGGAATACAAACTGGACAGAGTGAGTCATGAAATTCAATACAACAAAACACCTATAAAACACAAGTATAATATAGAAGTTATATTGTTATTTTTTGTCATATAGAAAGTAATGTTGTTCATATTATATTATTTTAAAGCTTGCATGTGTTCTGTCCTGTCCAGGCCTTGACTCGCTTCAATGAGCAACTAACCAAAAACGGCCACCTGAGAGAGGAGTTGCAAACTCTTCATATTGAGCGTGTCCGTTTCCAGCAACTACAAAACAGGCTGGACAAGGTCAGAGGTTGCACCATAGATAATTCAGAGACAAGGCCACACACAACTTTTTTTGTTTAACATGCTTGTTATTGTTTGTAACATAGCAACACTGGACAAGTGGATACGCTGGTTTAAGTTGACAAGAAAAAAACATGTCTGATTGTTGTGTGTTGTAGGAACTTCACGATGTCCGCAAGAAGATTGGGGAAATTGTCAACTTGTCCACTGCTGCTTACGATGCCAGGTTAGATTTGAGGGAGTTATGTAATGTAGTAAAAAATCTGTGCTATGATATACACCTCATGTTCTTATGTATAAAGCTCTCTACTTCAGGGTGGAGGCTCATTCCAAGATGACCATGATGAGGGAGAAGGCAGTGAAGGACCTTGCACAGTACAACGCTGAGATGAAGGAACTGGAAAGGGTTATTGCACACGAGTGTAGCCTGAAAGAGTTCATGACCACCAAGTGCAGCGAGAGGAATGGGCAGGATTATGGCCATGACATGGGCCACAGGCAGTGTAAGACACAGCCACAATACTGCTGTTTTGACTTACTGATAATCGTAATAATGGCAATGCTATCAGTGATGATGAAAACACTGGCAGTGATTGTTGGATGTTTATTCAGAGGGGAATCCCACCAGTTGTCAGCTTGTGCTTTATGAATGCCCAAGCACAGTCTCCTACAGTATATCCCATGAGCACACAGAGAGAGGAATCCCATCTGTTCTACATATAGCACAATGTAAGGTCCTTAAAGTGATTTTGACGCAATGGAAAAGCCTACTCTAGCCATATTGGGAATGTTTTTAGTGGATTACGTTGCAAGTTCTGCTTCTGAGCTGAATGCTGTGCAATAACAAAAGAGCAGATCTCATTTAAATTTAAACATTTAGAGGAACATCACTGAGCATTGCCTAGTTTCTGTTTAGTTTTTTGTCACAAAAACTGGGATGGTTACCTAACATATGTCCTCAAATCAAAACATTGCTTTTAATTGATTGGTATGTATTCCTTTTCAGTCAGGAAAAATATGAACATTACTTCTTTACCACAACTACCTGCTAATTGCAAATAATAGATAAATAAAACCTTGTTAACACAGTACAATCGTCCATAGTACAGCCTTTCTCAACCACTCAGCTGCAGCCCACTGGAGGGCCGCAGAGCGACATCTAGTGGGCCTCAGAGGCAGTGGTACTGCCAAATGGTTAGATTAATTTATTTTTTTATTTTGGTAGATGACCAAGTTAGTTATTTTTATCACTAAATGTGCTCAAGAATTAAAATGCATACTTTCAGTGACCAGTTACGTTACAATATCACCACGCCAGTAACGACACTTCATCAGTTACTAGAGACAACCGTGTTTTGCCACTGTTAATCAACACTAACACTCTCTGGGATGCAGTGACACAAAATGAGATAGATACTTAAACACAACACACCCGGGATGTGTTTCTCCCTTTTTTGTCAGGTGTTGGTTTATTATTATTTAGTATTTTACAACACAAACAACAAGACAAAAGTCAGAGTAAATGTGGGTATCATTAAATCAGTAAAACAAAAAGGAAGAAGAAAGAAGAAAGTGTTCATTCCTGTTGGCCTAGAAACCAAGATCACTGAAACAATGCAGTCAGTCCTGCCAGTGAGTCCTTGAACATTAAAATAGAAATAAAAGGATCCTTTTCACAGTGTTAACTTGTGTCAACCAGCAGTAGCAGTATTGTTACAAAGAGGAAAATGAATGTAAATTGCCACAGTGTAAGACTGTTGATGTACAAATCGTTGATTTAAGTTTGTCACATTTGGGCAGTCATACAGGAGGAATACATGAATAAGAACAATGTCTGTGTTAACTAATGATGGTATTGGTGACAGTGGCTGCTAATATGATGGTAATGGTGCTTGTTTGTCCCAGCGTCAGAGATGAAGGAGCAGAGGAGGATGGACTCCGGGGAAGAGTCTCTGGACGCTCTAGAGGAGGTGTTTGACAGGATCCAGACTGTGACAGGGGAGGACAACCTGGACATGCTGGTCACCAGGTTCATCCAGGGTAAGTGTTACTAACCAGACTATTTCATACTCATCCATATACAAAGACAATGTTTCCAAAAAATATCTCTTATTTGTACATTTGTATTAGATTTATAGAAAATGGCACAATGTATTTTAATTTAGTTTACATCTCTCTACCTTCTAAGGTTCCACATTGATAATACGAATAATAATCAGTCTCAGTTAAGAAGATTGAAATGTATCTCATTGCTGTGTTGCTGTTTAGTTGAAGACCGGAACTTTGCACTCTTCAATTTTGTAAATGAGCAAAACAATGAGGTCGAGGCACTGAGGGAACAGATTAGCCAGGTGAGTGTGTTTTCTCTGTTTGACTGTGCCCGTGGACACATATGTCTTTCATTTCTTCCGTTTTTAACTTATATTCCTATTCAGTGCAACAGTAGAATAAACGTAATTCCTTAAGAACTTCAAAGTCCAGGGTTGAGTTCCTAAATTTAGGAAATTAAATGAAAGCTAAAGAGATAGAGGTTATTTTTGACAGCCGTGAGAGCGAGTGAAAGGGAGCACGTAGTTTGTTAGAACATATCAATAATCTTTATATTTATCTGTTTTTGCTGAAATGTGTGAATCTGCAGATACAAGCGGAGATTGAGCAGTTTCGAGAGGCAGGTTTAAAACAGGAGCAAGATCATCGCTCTTTGCTGAGAGACATTGATGAGCAACAAAAGGAAACCGAATCCCAAGCTGAGGACTATGAACACCAAGCCAGCATCATAAGCAAAACCCTGGAAGAGATTAAAACAGGTTTGGAAACGATTTATTTATTTATTTTAAGGGGCTGTAATTTCCAAATAACTTCCCAGAAGTTCCTAAATTTCCTAGAAAGGTGTAATTTGGTAGTAATAAGAGGGGGAATAGAGGCAGTGTTCAACTAGTATAATTCCAGTGAACTGGTAGCACAACCTGGAGTCTTTTATTCAGTGCACAGGTCAGATCAACATGCAGAAATGTGATTTTTCCACTAGCAAGCATACAATTCAACACAAAATACATGAAGAACACTGTTGTGTACTAAAGGAATGATCAGTGAATATTTACATGGATTAAACTGGAGCAGTTCCTCAAGGATTTTAGGGAAATAAACCTAAAATTAGTATCAAATTATTGTTATTTTTTTTTTAGGAAAATGCCCCATGAAATTATCAGACTTTTCTTAAATACTCATATATATATATATATATTTTTATCTACATATACTGACCAAGTGATATGAGAATTAATATCTGAGGTACTCCTGGCTCTTGTTTCTCCCATCTCACAGGTGTGAACAGTATTTTCTCTAAAATGGAGTGTGACCGCTCAGTGATAGAGGATGCACTGGGCTCCTCTACAGGGATCAGTGACAACAACATCATGTCCTACCTGGGTCTGGTGGAACAGAAGACCAACGAGATGCTCACCATACAAGCTTTCCTCAATTCTAAAGTAAATTTTTGAACCTGTGGTTCGGTCCTGACTTTCCCACATACATTCCTGTTGTACATGTAGTATGTTCTTTCATTTCTGCATTGCAATATAATGTGTCTCTTACAGGATCTGGAGAAGGACTTCAATCCAAAAGACCTGGCCAAATTTCTTTTGGGGCAAAATCCAGAACTGCTTCAGCAGAATATTGATATCCAACCTGCAATCAACAGGTGGGCCTTTTATCTTTTATCTTCTCGCTGATGGTCTTGTTTGTTATGTAGGTCACATAGAGGCATCCGTATTAAATTGAAACTGTTTCATAACCAGTTTCTGTGTTGGTTGGATTCCTCAGTGTGGATTATGATGCAGAAGAGTCTCCCGTCACTGATGAGGAAGAACGGCCACTGTCACAGGAGGAACTTCGCAGAAGAATAATAAAAGGGGTCGGTGCAATTAGTCCTGTTGTGTTTGTGCTATACGTGATGATCACTTTTTTAAAGTTCTCTGTTCATTTGATCTTTCTGGATATAATTTATAGGTTCTGCAGAAAGAGAGGACGACGCTCCCTGGGAGACGCACCGAGCTGAAGCATTGACCATATCAGTGTAGTCAATGTGCACATATTTAAGAAATGGGATCCTCATCTGCACCATCAGTAGCAGCTGAAGGGTCTGCTTTCATTTTTTTACTAAAATATAGATCAGAGGAGGCTTTGACCGCTGATGGAACCAGCTTGATTGGCCATTTTGAAATGTTGCAGCTTGCACACAAAAAAAGTTAAAACTTAATTATGTTATGTGTATGTCGCATTTTATGATGAATCATTGGCATGGCCTGAATATTACATCTCGGTGTGATTTGTTTAGTTGTAACTAATTAGGTTCGGCGCTATAAAGATGCCTTTTCAGACTCTGGTAACCAGCTGTCCTTTTGATGTGTGACTTGCCATCTGGCTTTGACTGTACAATCTGGTCTGAGTACAGCCCTCCTTCGCTGGCAGCGTTTCATTACATGATACTTGCTGCTATGCTCAAAAGGAAAGGTTGGGGGCAGCAGAACCTTTTGTAATTTTAATTGGCATGCTGAGACCTTGATTCTGTTTCCAAAAAGGAGGTGAGAAGCTTTTAGCGCTTCACTGTACAGACTGATTTTGAACACATTTTTGTTGGTGGAATAATTATGATTTTTTTCCCGTTTGTTTTGGTGAATCACAGTCATTAATTCAGATTTCTGTCTTAAAATCAGTGTCATTATTCAAATAAACTGTCCTCTACAACCTTTCCATTGAATGAGTTCTCTGTTAATGTACAACACAATCATTAACATCAGTCCCTATTTAGGCTCAGTCAGTTACCTATTCATAGTGTAGCCATACCAGGCAGATTACCATAATTAATATATTATCAGGAGCTTCTATATCTTTTTTTCCCCCTAAAACAGTCAGTGTGGCTTGTAATGCAAGGATAAAAAACATAACTTTGATCCTCAGGAGTTTCAAATGTCATCTTATCCAAACATCCTGGAGCGAGCCTGTGTTGGGGTAAAGATGGCAGTCACCGCTGCAGAGAGCGACTTCCTCTGTACAAAAGAGAACGTCAGGATGGGGAACTTATTTTAAGAAACATATTTTTACTAACAGCACAGTGAAACAATCACCAAAGTGTGTTACTATATTTAGATTTTAAAGGTCACACTGATGCCATCATACTTTTTTCTGTATCATGGGCTGTACGAGGCAAGGGGCTGATTTGACAGAAGTGTACCTATATAAACAGGAAAGGGACACATGCAGGTCATTGTGTTAATTATCCAGCTTGTATGGTTTTAATTAGCTTATCTTTTAAAGGGTTCTTTTTTCCGCCGAGGCTTTGACAGCAGCGCTTTCAGGAAGTGAAACTGCTACTTTGTAAACATTTATGACTGATCGACCAATGACTTGGTTTGCTCAAGATAATCCCCCTGGCAGTCTCAACTGTGTGGCTATGAAAACAGATTATCAGAGATAAAAAGGGCGCTGTGGAAAAAGCAGAAGGGTGGCGGTGGTGGGAGATGAGATGGAGGAGGCTGCTTTCTTTGAAATTCTACTCTCACTTAGCCCCCTCCACTCCCAACAAATTCTCTGTGCACACGGCTCTCTGCATTGCCATAGAAACCTTCCTTTTAATCACAACAGAAACCTCATTTCCGAGTCCTGACAAAGAGTCCTCATTGCCTGTAGAGACCGCCTGCATCAGCCATTTCCAAGGCCCACCTCCTTCTGCAGGCTGTACCTACCAGTCCCCCCCCCCCTTTTCCCAGTCCTTATTTACTCCTCCTCTCCATATAAGCACATTTTCCACCTTTCCTCCTCCCTCAGCTCAACTGTTTTCCCATTCTCTAGCGCACCTTCTTCTTTACACCTCATAATCTCTTGTCATTTTAGTGTTTTTTTTCATTGTTTTGTATACACTGTAGGCTGCTGTTATTGTTGCATTTGGTTCATCTCATCCCTATTAACTAGTAATCATCCAAAAACCTACACACCCAACTGTGCAAACAAAAACATGCAAGCACAGGTTGTGCTGCTTGTTTGTGGCTTATCCACTCTGTCTCTCCAAAAAACTAATGCCGGAGTCCATTTTGTCTAAAAAAAATACTAGCAGTTCTCGTCAACTTTAATCTTTTCATCTCACTATAGAGAAAGTTCTTAGTAGCGTGCTCTCAACTTCCTGTCCCTGGTCTTGTTCTGCTTTGAGAACAAACTGTGTTAGCACTTGTAAAATGCCTTGTTCCCTTTATCTCGACACAAGACTGTTATCTGGAAAATACCCCTGTCCTCTGTCTCCCACTCTGTTCTCCTCTCTCTCTCTCTCTCTCTCTCTCTGTCTCTCTCCCTCTCTCTCGTTTTGTTTATTTGGGAATTGTGCCAGGTATTTCCCCAGTCAGTCTGCCTGCACCCAAAATGCTCCATCCCCTTGACGGACGCCCCACCCCCCTCCCAGCACTCACACCCTCCCTC